TTTCTATACCATATCTTCAAAGCCTGATCTATATATGTGTCGTTCATTGTAAAAGTGGTGGAACTCAATTAAATTGAATTTGTAGAGATTATGACATTTGCAAATTGATGTACAGGAAAAAAATTAAAGTCGTATTGAATTATTTACATTATTTATTGTTCATTATAAGACTAAGTTTCGAATCATAAATAAAAAAAATAAAAAAAAACTAAATTAGATTCTGTGATAATTTTTTGACCGTGTTGGTATATCGTTATAGAGATTTTATAATACGAGTGATAAATCGGTGGAATATAGGATAAGAGGTCTTTCATATCTTTCTTTTTTTGAGCTTGTCATGGGATGTTTTGAGCTATACATTGGTATTTGTATAATATTTTTTAACTGAACTTCGGGTACTTGTTTCGTTTTAGTTAAATCAACAATGTAAAATGGCACGTCAGGATTAAAGGTTTCTTTAAATTAAAACTGCAGTGAATGGTTTCTTTCAAATCTTATCCGTTTAATATTAAGCTAGTTGAACTCGTAACCACATGTAGTTTTCTTTCTGTAATGTGTTCGTCACGCAAAAATGTGGCTGTTTGAACTTTGCGTTTTTTATGATGTCTATTAATTGATCTGATGATTATCAACAACAATATTCTGACATGAACACAATTAATAAAGAAGTGCAAAAGAAAGCTCTTGAAAGCAGGACTTACTGTTGCAAAGAAAACGAAAAATAAAAAAGACCGAATAAGTGAAGGAACAAAACGGTTGATGGAAAAGAGACGCACATTTCTAAGCAAAGGAAAGCGAAACACTAATGGTTTCAAAGAATTGAATAAACAAATAAAGAAGGGAGTAAAGGAAGATTTAAAAATCTATAATGAAAACAAGGTAGAAAAAATAATAGAAAAGAACCGATGCCTGAAATGCTTAAGATCAAACTTAGGAAAGCCTATAATAATCGCATTGAAGGATAAAGATGGAAAAGAAATAAGAGAAAAGAACGAAATTCTAAAAGTTACTCAAACATTTTACTGTGATTTATATTCCTCAAACAAGAACCCAGATAACACTGCAAAGGAAGATCTTAAGAGAAAGATAACGAATGTCAACTCAGAAATATTCCTCTAACATAGAATCTGTCGCCAAAATACACAATCTCGACAAAGATTGTTACTTTGGCCGGCCAATCACAGCGCTCGTTATTAACTTCGCTGTCATTGGCCTCTCGACGGAGGAGTGCTGCGAATTCTCAATTACTAAACGTACAAAAGAGCAGCGCACCTTTCGATCGGGACTTCAGTTGTCAGACACTTCGAGCCCTACTAGACCTTGTTAATTAGTGGTGCTTCCTAGTAAAACTGTTGTTTCATTATTAATCCAAATATCCAAATCATCCTTACGTCGAATTTTAACGATTACACCGACTTAGAAGATCAGCGAGTATTTCCAATCCAGACGTCGAAGATACCTGAAGGCATCATTCGTTGTCTGCTATTATACCACAGTGCACGAAAGCTGAGTATCTGTAGATACTGAGAGCTGTAGAACGCTCCCTGTCAGAAACATACTTACTTACTCTAACTTACTCCGTGGCGTCAGAAACATACGCTTTTTGAAATAGAAAAACAGTAGTTTTAGAACTATTACAAATTGTGCCAAACTGACACCGACGATTTATCGAACAACGACGGTGAATACGAGGAGTAGTCTCGACGGAGACTTATATTCGATTTCACCGCTCCGAGTCAAGCCACGACGACGTCCAGAGCCGATACAACGGGCATTTTTGTGCCTCTTTCTACGAGACAGAACGCGGCGATTCCCTATAAGAAGGAAACCGACATCTCTGCAATTTTGAGGCATATACCACGCAACAGAATTCTAACACATATTGTCATTGTAAGAAATATATTGTAAGAAATTGCCAAGTATTGTCATTGTAAGAAAACTTGAACTGTTAGAGAATTCTGTTTGCCGGTGTCACCTCGCTTGTTGCAGAGGCTCGATAGAGCTTCTTACACGAATAAGCCGGTATCTGTACCAACTCCTATACGAAGATGGATCATCGCAATACGAGATCATCTTCAAGAGCGGCGGTCGCTGAGCGTCCAGAAACTCTAGATAACGGAGAGGATGCTACGGCCGTACGACAAATCCTTCGAAATAAAACAAGCTATGGCACAACTAAAGAACAATAAGGCTCCGGATCTAGATGGAATACTTGTAGAAATGTTGAAGGAGGGGAGTGAAATTATTCTCGAAGACTTAAAAAAAAAATCAACGAATGTCTTCACAGAAGAAAAGTCCCAGATGATTGGAATGAAAGTTTGACAATACTTCTCTTTAAAAAGGGAGACAGGGGAGACATGGAGAACTATAGGCCAATCTCCCTGCTGTCCCAAATGTAGAAACTGTTTATGAGAGTAATAACTAACACTTTAACTTCGAAGCTCGATAGCTATCAACCAATAGAGCAGGCAGGATTCTGAAAGGGTTACAATACAGTGGATCAAATTCTTACAGTCAGAACTCTAATAGAGAACTGTACTGAATAGAGACTTGTGACTTACTTCACTTTTATAATGACATATTTACAGTTTAAGCTCTCGATCAAATCTAGTAATCCCATCTACATGTTAAAAGAGTTAGTTATTAGAGATATTTCGTTTTTATATTGAAAGATTAAACTAAATTTGATTGAATGATACAATTAAACAGTAAATAACAAAATAGGGAGTTACACTACTATTACAATGAACGACAGATATATATTAAAAAAATAGGTGATAGACCACATCCCTGTTTAAAGCCATTGGTTGTGGTGATTGTTTTTGTTATTTTATTCGTTATTTTTTGTTATGTTTTTATTATTTCATTGCCTTAACTTAATTTACACCTTTGTTTTGTTATAATATATTCTTTGTGTTATATTTACCCATTTCTCTCTAACGTGCATTTTTCTCATTGCTTCCCATAGTTGTTTCCTGTGCAAGCTATCATATGCTTTATTCAAGTCTATAAAAGGTGATATGTGTTTCAATATATATTTTTTTCTTTTTTATTACCTGTCTCATGATAAATATCTAATCTAGAGATGATCTGTCTTTTCGGAATCCAGCTTGTTCTTCATCACAATGGTCCATGAGTTGTTCTATTTCTTTTTATTACTGTGGAAAAGATTCTTGCTATTGAAAGTATTACACTAATTCCTCTATAGTTATTTGGTGACTTTTTCATTTTTTTGTAAATTGAGGACATATATGATAGATTCCACTCCTCTGGAATCTCCTTCCCTTCTTCAATTTTATTGAACAACCTCGTATGAATGGCATGATCCTTGCGCCTCCATATTTCTTCCACCAGTTGCATTTTTATGTTCCCTGCTTCTGGTGCTTTGTTTTTCTTTTAGCTTTCTTAAAGCTTTAGTTATATCTTCCTCTGTCATTTCGGCTTTTTCTGTTATTGTTGTCACAGTGTCTTGTGAGATTTTTACTTCTTTTGTTACTTCTGGTATTTTTTTTCATTCCATTATGGGAAATTGACCTATTGAAATGATGTAGGTGGCAGAAACATGACCTGGCACATAGAGGACAAAAAGGATGTTAGAAACAGCACAGTTGAAAACACTTGGAAGACACTATGGGCAGAGCTAGAAGTACAGATATATGATGGAGATGCAAGGTGGACAACATCAAGAACTGAGTAAGAAATAGAAGAGTAGAATGGAGCGATTATATAAGCCGAATGAAAACAAATCGAGTAGTAAAGACGACAAAAGACGGTTTCCCAATAGGAAGATGATCAGTAGGAAGATCACGAAAACGATGGGACGACATCTTGGAATTACAAAACTTGGAGGTACATTAAAAACCAGACAGAGTCATTTCTACATAAAAAGAAAAAGAAGAAGAACAAAAATGTTTACAATTTTTATCATATTTTATCGTAGGATATTCAGATTCGCCGTGAGGTACGCCAAAGGTGTATTTTATCACCATTATTGTTTAATTTATAGAGTAACACTATCTCAGGATTAGCCGATGGCTAAAGTCCTAATAATAAACCTAATTATGACCGAATTATTACCGAATAAGGGCCTAATAATAAACGGTGAGAATAACATAAGACAATAATAACACTTAATAATGTAAGAAATGCTAACGATATTTTCCTTCTGGCAAGAACACTAGAAGAACTGCAACACCTTACTCAACAACTAAATATAGATTGCAATAATTATAGACTAACAATTAATTTGAAGAAAACCAAGTTCACGGTACTTACATAACACCAAAGTGAATCTAGTACTAGACAACACAGTAATAAGATGCCGCATTCAAATTGCACGGTCAACAGAATGAGAAAGCTTATCTGGAATCGTAATATCAATATAAGGTTCCGGTTAAGAATGCTTCTATCTTATAGTTTCTCCACCCTTTTGTATGTGGTTCAGGCCTGGACACTGAAACAATAACATATTAAAAAGCTAGAAGCATTCGAAATGTAGTGTTATTGGCGTATTCTGAAAATATCATGGATGGATCGCAAAACAAATCCATAAGTTCTCGAACAACTAGGAAAACGATGCAAAAAGGAACAAAAAATCTAAAACAGAATAAAAATAATTCAATCATGGGATAATTCATTCAATGGGATCAATTGCGACCCCATTGGCTTAATGTGTTGATAAAACTAAGCAAAAGGACAGACAAATCAAAAAACAAAATTACATCCCAGAAATTATCAGGAACCTTGTTCAATTTATAATTGGCAAAACTGATATTTAAAATAGAGAGCACTTAATTAATTGTATTTGTATAATGATATTCCTACACTCTATGGGTCCCAATAAATATCTTTATTTATACAAGGCAGAAAACTAAGATACAAATAATTTTGTAATTAAGCAATATTTTTGTTTGTGACTGTATCTAATTGCTGATATGCACTATTTATAACTAAACTCATTATTAACAATAACAATTGCGTCAGTTAATAAACTTCATCCGGCGGCAACAGTTATGGTAATACAAAAATTATTAGTTGTTTTGTTTGCATACTTTTGCTTGTGTCAAACCAAATATCAACCGACATGGGATAGTATAGACTCTAGACCATTACCTTCTTGGTATGATGAAGACAAAATAGGAATTTTTATCCATTGGGGAGTATTTTCTGTTCCTAGTGTAAAATCAGAGTGGTTTTGGGCAGATTGGAAAGGTAGGATGTTGTTGTTTTTAAATAATACAATATATTTTGATAGGGTACTATCATTTTCAATTGGCTTGCATGATTAAATTCTTTGAGATTCCTGTTAATATTCTCTATCATTCGTTTTTTTTTTTGTATTTTTACCTTCCTTGTTTTATTAATTTTACTAATCCATGTAGATATTAAACTTTTGATTGAAGATTGATCGTTTCATAGGTGGTTTCGATTTCTTCATAGTTTGTTTATTTTAAAACCGTATGTAGACAACGACTTTTGATTTGCAATTCGTAATATTGTAATATTAATAAACAGCTTTATTTTCTATTCGAAACACGGAAACTCCAATTCCACACACAATGGTCTTGTGATTTATTTATGGTCATCGCAAAGACGAGACGTATGGGAAAATGCAGTCTCTTAAAATCGAATGGTAAATCGATATACGAGAAGTCGCGGGATCAAGACATGCTCTTCCTTGTATTTTCCCGTGATCATCGCTGCCTCAATGACAATATTCTTTAGTTTTTTTACAGCCAGTCTCGTTCCATTATATAGTCAGGATTGATTAATGTTACGTAATAATATTATGAAAACTGAATCTAATTTTAATTGATAATTATAATTGTAATTATAATGCAGGTAGTTCTATAGCATAGAACTTTCACAAAACATTTGGTGGAACAATTGATTATTTCATCGTGATTGATATCTGTGTAGACTTATTTGAAAGCAAACAACTGTCAATAACAAAATTATTAGAAGTCTGTTAAGTCCTCAAATCACGCTAAATTTGTAGCAATTGTAATGACAAATGACATAGAACGTCACACAATTTTTCATACAGAATCTGGCTTGTCTTAATCCCCATTCTCTCTTATCCCTTTATCAACGCCTTCTCTCCAACTTTTCCATCATCTTCCTCTTTTATCCTTCATTTTGAATTGCATTCTAATACTTTTTTTGAGTTTCTGTGATTAAGAATCTTTGTACGTACCATAATCTGTCCGTAACGTTTTATTTGTTTAGCTCGTATTTTGTCTATGATATCATGTATTATTACCTCCATAATCTCTGTGGCTCTTAGTATATTTTCTATCCATTCTTTTGAAGGCTATACTTCGAAACTATACATAATTATACTTTTTACTATAGTCTTCTATTGTTCTCGTTGATTGTATTGTTTTATCCCAAAAGATTTTATTTAACATTGACATTGCTTTCCTTCCTTTCCTATTTCTGGCCAATATTGCTTCTTCGAGTATTCCATCTTTGGTTATTTTCATCCTTAAGTATTTGTATACAGATTCGTGTAATTTTCTGACCGCTTTCTAGTTGTCAATCTTGTTGTGTTCCTCCAATCCACACATAATTATTATGTTTTACATACGTCCTACGTTGAGTTCTTAGCCTCAAATTTTAAATTCCTCTGCCATCTTGCATGTCATTTATCCTATATTGTCTATTTGCTGTGCTACAATAATCTGATCGTCTGCAAATGACGTGTATTATAACGTTGTATCGTCATCCAAAGGTGTACTCTTCTTGTGCTATTTCTTTTACCAAATAGCTAGCACCCTTTCCAACAATTCAACAAAAACATTAAACATGTTAGTACCAAGCAACATCCTTGTCTTAGTCCTTTTATCATGTCAAATTCCGATGTTAGATTTTCTCGTAGTTTAATTTGTGATACCTTTCAATTTTGTTATCTCAGGTTTTACACGTGCTTCAATCTCTATACTTTACATCTGATGTAAATCAGCATAATAGGAATAAAAGGAATCAGGAATAAAACAACATAATATGATGAAAATAATGTAATAAAATAAACTAATTAAAATACCTCCAAAAATTTTTAGCATACAATGTTTATCAAACAAAAATCGTTCTACGTACGTGAACCTTCAATAATGCATGGATAATATATTACAATTACAATCTAAAATCGAGCTTATTATTCTACATAAACAAATCAAGTAATATTCAGTGGTCCTCCTAATGCAATTTTTGGTATATCGATTGTACCAAGAAAAATTTGTATGAATTATCCAATTCTCTCCACAGCTCCGTCCCCTCTCAGAACCAATTTGATCTCCTTCGACTATCGACAACTTATTCACACGTTACTAATATGATATAATATTATTTAACCCAAAATTCTCAAATTGAAATTATTTATGAAAATTTCTCCCATTGAAACGCTTCCTCTGCCTTGAGTTGTCCAATTCCTCGTTCTATGCAAAATAAACTATCAGTAACTGAGAACTGTTCTCAGCAGACTCCTATGTAATTGGCAATATTAAACAAGATCTTGCAATTTAGTGTCTTCAATGCTCTCCTTCGAATGCGCGTAACTTTCCAATGATGCCAGTCTCTTTTCCTCTCATCAAACTTAATCTCTCGTTCCGAAATAAACAGCGATACGTAGATTACAAGTAGGAAAAGTTTAGTTACAAATTTGTACCAGATTAGCTACCGTCGGACACACTTACTTCACCAACTCACAACTTATTCTTTATCGCTTCCTACCCCTGGAGACCACCTCGAAAACCAACCATTCACTTTAAGAAACTGCAACTAACTGTCTTATCTCATCTCTCCATCCATCCAACCTCTCATTATACACACCCATCTCAACACTTTCCAAATTCTCGTCCAATCAGAAATTCGCATATCACTCCCCACATAAAATCAGAAATACCTACAAACTTTCCTAATTCATATTATTTCTACAAGGACACTTAATTTCTACTGGGTATTTACAAATTCCGAAAAACCATTTACTTATTAACTATTTTTATTGTCCTGTTCCTGGCGCAAACCCAGATTACGGAACACTTTATGGCTTATGGGAAAAAACCATCGTTAACTTCTATTCATTGTACCCGCACTATTCACTTGTTATATTTATACAAAAGATTATTTATGACTAAGATTAACTTTAGTAAATTCCAGGCATGTCGAAGTATTTTTACTTTCTATAATCTCTGAAATATTGATTTCATCGTACATTTAATATCTTTTTTTTTGTTATATTTTATATTTTACAATAACAAAAAGTGTCATTTTTATTTCTTATAAATATGATAACTCTTTCGATAAAAAATGATAAGCAAATTTTGACTAATATTAAAAGTCTAATTACATTATAGAGTTAATAACCTTTCAATTAGTTAATGTTTGCCTTCTAACATTTTAGCGATGTAGTTATTATGTATGTAACATTAGGTTATATAATATAAGGCAATAGGTACCTTGAAAATAGTTTTAATTTTCTTGTAAAAAAAGTATTGAAAATAGCTTTGGTAATAATAATAACAACATTAAACTTAATGTGGCTTGTAGATCAGCCCTAACAATTAATAATCTTTATTCTAAGATAAAAGATAAGACTCCCATAGATAGGCTTAGTAACATTGTCTACAACGTTCCATGCTTCTCTTGCAGCAATTCCTACATCGGCCAAACATCTCAATTATTGAAATCACGTATTACACTACACAAAAGTGATTCTCGACTTCACCCTGACCGCTGTGCATTAGCCAAACATGTCCATTCCACTGGTCATCTCAGGGACTATACTAACACTACAATTCTCCACCGTGAGAATAATAAATCTAAAAGAGAGTTCATTGAAATGTCTTATATTTTCCTCAACGATTTCTCAATCAATGTTAAGAGTGACATTAGTAATCTAAGCGATATATACCACTTCTTACTTAAATCAGATAAGAACAATACAGCATCACAGATAACTAACTTGACTGATATATCCATTAACAACTAACCTATTTTAATAATAATTTTCATTAACTAAAAAATATAGCACTCCCTTGCTTTTCTTAGATACATCTCAATAAAATATTATTATAACAATAATATTAATAATAATATGTAATAGACGAGAAAGTCTTCCGGTCTCGGGAAAGATGTTTCCCGAGACTGAGGGTTTCCTACTTGCCATTCAGGATCAGGTTATTCCAACTAAAAATTACCTGAAATATATTGTTAAAGATCCTCAAGTCCAAAAGGCAAATGCCGATATGGATGCCAAGCCCAAGAAACCATCCAACATCTTACCAGTGGCTGCCAGGTATTTGTCGGTACTGATTATAAAGAACGCCATGACTCAGTAGGATAGATAGACCAAGAACTAGCTGACAAACTGGGACTTCTCCAAACCGACCATCTTCCTTATTATCAATACGCCCCTGATAGAATGCTTGAAAATGACAACTACAAGCTATACTGGAACCGCACTGTGCTTACAGACCAACCAGTGGCCCATAATAGACCGGATCCCATACTAGTTAATAAACTTACTAGACAAACAACACTTATTGATGTGGCGATACCCAACAACAATAATTTAAGTGTTAAATACAACGAAAAGATCGCCAAGTACAGAGATCTAGAAATACAAATCAGAAGACAATGGAGAATGGAAAGTACCCAGACACTACCTATTGTTCTATCTACTACTGGTGTTATTCCCAAAAACCTTTATAAGGCCATGCCGAAAGCTGTACTCCTCGCGACGTCCAGATGTGTACGAAAATTTTTGGGAGATACCCCAACATACCAAGTCACCTAGGGCTCGATAACACGGAGAGAGTCCCACCAGAGCTCAATCCTTTTGATACCGTAGGTATCTGGGATAAGTGAATTTTCCCCTTAAAGGGAGTGTGAGCCGTATGGCTAAATCTGGGATATGTAATAATAATATATTAATAATAAAATCTAAAATAATATTTTCCCAAACTGGGATTTAACTTCATTCGGTTTTACCAATGAACCTTAACGCCATAAAGATTCAAAAGGCCTACTTGAATTGTCAGCACATGCGTTCTGATAAAACAGAACCTCACATTTAAACTTTCTAACAATCAAAAATTTAGTTATTGCCGACAATTCAAAGAATTACTTTCTTTTAAATGTAGTTACATTGGGTTTTTCGAATAAGCTTGGGTAAACCTTTGCGTTTTAAGTTCAAAGCTACCATACATTTCCAACGTTAACAAAACTTTTTTTGCACATAGTAACAAAAAACACCACTATGTTGTTACTAGCTTACATTGAAGAGGGCTTTGAAGAAAAACTTATAACAGGGGCTGCTTTTGTAGATCTGACAGCAGCCTATGACACAGTAAGGCACAAAACATTGCTCCGTAAATTATACGACACTCTCAATTACCACCATCTGGGAAAGGTCGTATATTCCTTACTGCAAAAAAGACGTTTTTTCGTTATGCTGGAGGGTAAAGTAAGTAGGTGGAGGGTTCAAAAAACGGCCTCCCACAGGGAACTGTTTTAGCACCAATGCTCTTCAATATATACACAAACGACCAACCTACTCCGACCGAAACCAAGCACTTCCTCTATGCTGACTATCTTGCAATATGTGCTCAAGGAAATAGTTTTGAAGAAGTGGAGGAGAAACTCGAAACTGCCTTAAAAACAATGACAGCGTACTACCTGCAGAATTCTCTGAGACCCAATTCCTCTAAAACCCAAGTCTGCGCTTTCCACCTTCGCACAAAAGAAGCCAAGCGAAAACTCCAAATTGTGTGGAATGGTAATGCATTAGAACACACAAATCAACCTATATATTTTGGAGTAACTCTGGACCGGTCCCTCACCTACAGACAACATTGCATAAAAACAACAGGGAAAGTAACAACCAGGAACAGCATACTCAGAAAGCTAACGGGAAGTAAATGGGGTGAACGTCCTGGCGTTTTAAGAACAACGGCACAGGCACTGTGTTTCTCAACTGCTGAATATGCGTGCCCCGTTTGGAGTAGATCTGCCCACACCAAATAAGTTGATACTGCGCTAAATGAGACATGCAGGATAGTAACGGGTGCATGAAACCAACGCCACTTTCAAATCTATATAGAGCAGTGGGTTTTGCAAAACCCTCAACACTCAGAGGCGCTGCAGAACATATAGAGAAAATTAAACAGATCGCGGACAATCGGCATGCCCTATACAAAGCTCGAACACCACGAAAGCGACTAAAATCTAGGAAAAGCTTCCTTGGAACAGTGCAGGATGAACCGCCTGAGTATTTCCCACTTCCCCAGGTTCAATGGACCGGCCAGACCCTAGACTTTAAAACGTGGAAAACCTTGAATAGGATAAGAACGGGGGTTGCTACAGTAAAATCAAGCATGGCAAAATGAGGTAAAATAGACCAAGATGATGTGAACTGTGACTGTGGAGAAACACAGAATATGAAACATCTTCTTGCATGCAAAAACTATCCTCATCGATGTACCCTTGAAGATTTGTGGCTCGCCAACAAAGATGGAACCGACGTAGCCCGATACTGGGCCGAAATTTTATGAATGACATGTCCGGACACGATAAAGTAAAGGAAAGTAAGTTACTAGCTAAGTTTTTTAACATCCTAACTCAACAATTCTAAGTTACGGTAAGATCAATAATGTTTTTGAATAGATAATATATGGTAGCTAATTATAATTTATTCTCTTTCAGCCCTGAAAAAGCCAAATTAATTCTCTTTGGCGAAAACCTTCGGCGAAACAATTGATACTCATTTCCCCAATATTTAAGAGTTTACTGTATATACAGCCTCTGCCGCACCCCACATTTGATCTTCACCTCTTTCGGTCGGTCCATTCATCCTCATTGATCTTTCATTATTTTATATATTCTCCCAATTCGAATGTTGGTCTTCCTCTCCTACTCCATGGAACATAGGTTAAGGTCTGTTTTGGCTATCGTTGTTACTGATTGACACAATGGTTTTAATGATACAGACATGGTGGCCTGTTTTTGCCTATTGATATATAATTAATCTTTTATGATTGAATAATTTGATTTAATTAATCATATTTTTTTATTACTTACTGTTATTACAATATTTATTGATATTAGCTACTATAATAATTTTACATTCTGTAATTATTATAATGGCCGATAAACCGTTATCTTCATTGTATATAAAATGATAAACATACAGATCAAAGTTTAAAATGTTTATTTTCTCAGATATCCGCTTGACATACCTACTTAAAGTACCCACTTTAAATTGTTTTATTATCTGTTTACAACAACAACTTATGGCACATCTCGCAAAATATCACTTTCGGAGCTTGTTATGTAAAACTATTGTCATCGCGATAATCATTACTTTTTATTTATTTACTTTGACTGGACATCATAAATTATTTCTTGTATCTGGTGATTTATAATTTGCAGCTTTAACTTACTCTTCACATATTTATCATGAAGTGATAGCAATGCGATGAAGCGTCAAAGAAATAAAACGATGATGATACCATGCTCTGATAATAAAAAGTTTTCATACATTTTATAAGTTTTATTATTACTGCATACAAACTCATTGATTAAACCCCCTCTATGGCTTAGAGGTAAGAGCGCCTACCTTTAAACCTAAAGGTCGTGAGTTCGAATCTCACCAGGGTGGAGAAATTTTCGTTTATTAAAAATTAATGAATGAAAATAATTTCTATCCTTGTGCGATCGGTACTCGCCGGAGGGACCGCAGACGTTCGGATACAATTAGCGTCTCTTAGCAAAGACAATGACGTCGACTTTGCTAAATATCAAGGCAATTACTCTACAAACACACACACACACACACACACACACACACACACACACCACACACACACACACACACACACACACACACACACACACACACACACACACACACACACAGACACACACACACACACTACACTAGGTACCTGACTGGACTGTACCATGCCAATGATCATTAGTTGTCGAGGCCAACTCAGTAAAAAAAAACTGACTGATTATAATCATCAGTTGGTGCTACAGCCCTTCGTGAGCCCTGGCCTGCCTTAAAACGTTCTTCTATCTTTCCCTGTCGAGTCCAATTTTGACCAAGATGAACGGCATTTGGAATGCAATCTTAGATTCCCTTTTGCCGAGTAATTCATCAAGCTGTTTGCTTTGCAAGTTTTAGAAAGCACAGTGGTTAAGATTTGAATTCGATTTTGCCAGGTAGAAATCGTATGATTTCTCTTTTTGTTTTTAAAACTTGTGTATTTTGTTTTAGCCGGAGATTCAGAGGTTGTGAATTACTTAAAAAATTATTATTCTCCAAACTGGAAGTACCAAAACTTTGCAAAGGACTTTACAGCTGAATTTTACGATCCCAATGAGTGGGCAGAAATTTTCGCTAATTCTGGAGCAAAGTAAGTATGAGACTTCTGACCATACAACGTACCCCTTTGCAATAATATTATTTCTATTACATTGTGTGGAAAAATGTTGTTTTTAGGTATGTTCTGTATTTATTCCTTTCCCTAATCCAAGATGTCCATGTAGCATCTTCTCCTTTATCCTTTATCCTTAGTAAGAATATGGTGATGTTATGGTTGCTATCCATTCTTCTCTCGCCAATCCACAAAAGATTCGATTTAAGCACAACCAACCTGGAAGACACTGACATAAAGTATGGTCGTCCAAACTTAACCCTAAGAACTCTAGAAGCGGTAACTAATGCAAGCAGCTAGCAGGAACATTTCTGAGGATATAAAAAACTGGTTTTTCAACGTCAAAAATTACTTAAATGAGAAAAATTATTTTGATATATCGCAAGATCAAAAAAGTATTTAGCATTGACGAAACTTGTTTTCTCTTTTGTTCTAAAGAGGATAACATTGTCCTCGTGGAGCTAATAATCTTTTCCAAGTGAATCAAGGAACAGTAACAGCAACAAATCGCATTGGGGAATGTTTAAAAAATTGTCTCAGCTTCTACATTTTACGCTTAAAACTATCCTGTTAAAAAACACCCAAAAATATGCAAACTTCAAGAGATTGCTCAATAGTTTCCGTATTACTGCTAATGTTGCATCATGCAAAAAGCTAATAAAAATAAACCAGTTAGTGCTGACAATGTCAACAAACGTGATGTCCTACTTTTAGTTAAAGAAAACTCAGATACTAGTACAAGAAACAATTCGGTTGGATTATAAATCAATCAAACGAGTGTATGTAAAATAATTGAGACTACACTATTATCTCCTATTTAACTGGGAATAAGCCACAATTAAAGATAAAAATACGTTTATTGACGTTTCAATTTCCACTTCGGAAATCGTTCTCAAAATACAAACAGTAAATAAACAAATTTTGTTTTTTGTTACATAGTGAAAAATTCTTCTAATAATTTAATTTTATTTGACTCATTTATATTGACAATCCAGACATACATTATGCATTTTAAAGTAGACGACTTTAAAATGATATTGCCAATATTGTTGAGTTGCGCTCCTGGGACGACTTTACTTATAAGATAGTTCATTCGATTACATGAAATCAACTTTAACTTGAGAATATCCGTCAACAAAAACAAAATTTGTTTATTTACTGTTTGTATCTTGAGAACGATTTCCGAAGTGGAAATTGAAACGTCAATAAACGTATTTTTATCTTTAATTGTGGCTTATTCCCAGTTAAATAGTAATTAATTTAAAATGCCACAAGAAAATAGCTTCAGAACAATACACTATTATCTGTATCACACTCAATTACACCGACATTTTTGACAGAACAGGATTATCATAAATTTTTGAATGTTTTGAATGGGAGTGAAGATCCTTTAAAAGTTTGTAAACAGCGAAACCGGCAGCCCATTCTTTTTAACTTTAAGAAAACCTATTACGTATTATAAGTAGAAGACTTATTTCCATAACATTCATTAATATGTGCTCACGCCAGCAAGCCTTTCATCGTTTAAATTTTTTGTCAAGCTTTAAATAAAGTTGGAGAAGATCCTGATTTTTTTTAAATTATATTAGTTATAGAATCTACATTTCACAATATAGTAAATAGAAACAATTTTTATTATGATGATCCATTAACCGAAGATTTATTTTCCACTATTGATCGCCAACACCGATGGGATGTTAACTGTTAATGTTTGGGGTGATATTATGTTTGAGTACGTTATAGGCTTATAGGGCCGTATTTTTTTGACAGAAATCTCAATAGAATAAATTTTTATAAGTGATTAATACATGGAGTAGCCGAAGAAATAATACTATGTTATACTAATAATAATTATTCTCAGTGTTTTTAGGGTTTATTTTACAATCATTATTACGATGATTTGATAGAACTGTATAATCATCTTTCTTTTACAAAAAGCTAACTGTTAACTAACTAAATATAATGCGAATACTTTTTTTGTGTTCTATTTACATCCGAAAAACTAAAATATATACAAAACGGTCAGACCACACAAACTCAGGTCACTTATCTATCTAACACGACTCTCGAGATGCCATATGTTAGGGTTTGAAAATCATAATATTACGGCTCGCCCTCCAGAGGTCCAGCGTCAGGATTCTTGCGACGTCCTCGTCTTCATCTTGTCACTATAGGCATTGGAGCTTCAACGTTATTGAGGCTAGCTTGTGTAAGAGCGGATATAGAGAATCCACCAAGGGCAGTAAGGGTATCTACTCTACAAAGCTCATAATTCATATGCGATACCACTCGCTTTATCCTATGGGGTCCATCTCCATGTTTTAGCCATGAGCTTTAGGCATGAAGATATCTGAAGTATAAAATTATCAGTTTCTACAACTTGGCGGATATCTCGATTAACTTAACCAAGTATTATGCTCAGTTCCTACCAGTAGCGCACTTAGAATTTTTTTATGCTATCTCCACTATTTTAAGTCGTTAAAAGTTGTGAATAACCGTGTTGAAATAGGGTCCGGGAGAGAGGAGGGGGGTTAACCCCCAAAACCCCCTTTGGGTGCGCCACTGGTTCCTACAAGCATAGCAAGTCTGGTTTTAAATGTATATTCTTGTGCTTTACCATATTAGCAGAAGGGTGATAGAATGGAGTAAAAGTCTTTTTGATTTGTAACACATAGCATTACATTATACACGAATTACACACTATTATCACTGATAAGCCTTCTCTAATATTAAACAATCATCCACATCCAACCCACGGTTCAGAAAAAATAGTTTCAAACTTATGGTGCATTAAGATGTTTCGTTAATTGTGAAAATGAGAAGAAGAAGTAGGATTCGGTCAATTTGAATTCAGAGAGAATAGAGATAAGAGAAACTTTGTTTTCTCTACAATTACTGTTGCAGAAGTGTTACCATCAACAAAAGGATATTTTGTTATGCTTTGTCGATTTAGAAACGGCATTCTATCATGTAGATCATAATAAAATGTTAAAACACCTTGATATACGACTATTCAATATGTCGATTTGTCTTTAAAGTATGATTAGGTAAAAGTCTGTTTCTTTAAAGTAATATGTATCGACAATATATAAGATCACGTTTCTATCGGCAAACAAAAAAAAATAAGAATTATTAAAAAATATATTAAATATATGTTTGTTTAATTTTTAGATACATTGTCTTAACCAGTAAACATCATGAAGGGTACTGTCTATGGCCATCGAAATACTCATATAGTTGGAATGCTCAAGATGTTGGACCAGGAAGGGATATTCTTGGTAAGTATTTAATATCAGCAGTATTGATTTTAAATAAGTAATATTCTTCGAGTGGGTTAGATAGCCAAGCGGGCCAGATAGATGAATCGCATTCACTTCACGACTGTGAATGATCTAGTGGATGGATGGTTCAAAACCTGGCTGGAAAACATAAAAGCCATAATAGTAGTTTAAGATCTAAAAGAATCTTCTGCTTAGACTAGAATACGTTGGTGTATCTATGGATTTATATATGAGCAATACCACAAGAGATGGCAGCTTGCGACTCGGTGTTACTCACTACATAAATCCCGGACGAACGCTTAGGCCTAAAAACCGGAGTTTAAGTATATTAGTTCTAAAAGAGTTTAATGATTACTTTTGTAAAAAGTTTTTTTAACACATTTCATGTAAATTCTTTTTTTATTATTATTGATAACAGCATTAATCACTTTGGGTTATTAGCTGTACGATAATTAATACACATATACTTAAATCTAAACAGTATTTTTGATTAATTATTATGTTCACAATTAGATAAGTATGTCATATTTTACATACTTTACAATTTATAAATAGGGTTTACAAAACGTTAAAAGTTACAGTTTGTTTAAAACTTCAATATCTTTTAAGTAGGTAATTCAACATATTTATAAATTTACAATGTGCTTCTAAGACTGGTTTTATATTGTTAGGTAATGAGTGTTTTTGTCTTTCACTAATATATTTTGGACACTCTATTAGATATGTGTTACATTAATGTCGCAGTTACATAAGTCACAAATAGAGCGATTTGATTTGGAGATTAGCTATGAGTTAGTTTGCTATGACTCTACGTAAACGGGTTAGGTTAACACACAGATGACAATTTAAGTTAACCTCGCACCAAGATTCGGTAGGGCTTTACGATAAGTACAGTTAATTGTGAAAAATTCCAATCGTTTTCCCATTCATTTTTCACCTTTTCTTTAAGGAATGATTTGTCGAAAACCGACACTAAATTCACTAATATTGAAGAGGCACTGTGTATTGCTTTTATGGCATAAAAATATGCTTTTTAGTTTCCTTAAGGTCTAATATGTGATAGAACTCATGGGTCTTACCAAACTGAGTATAGTTCTTTAGTTGCAAATGGAAGATCATTTAAACTGCAATACCATGTTAGGAGCTATAATTGCTGATCCCACACCATCAATAGTCTTGGATGAATCTGTATAGATATGACAATCATTTAAGAAAGAAGAAAGTATTTTGTAAAACGATTGAATATATGTTGCATGGGGGTCCCAAGCTTATTTTATTTAGAAAGAATTAGATCACATATTGTAGGCGGAAAGGTCCTTTGGAAGAGTATACAACTAATGCATAATCCAGTTGTGATCATACTAGTGATTTGAATATATGAACCAAAATCTGAGGCCCAATTACGATTGCACAGTGTTTGCATTAAGACATTAAGACAGACAATTTCCTAGTAAAGGCCAAGCTCAGAACTAGAATCTCAACACAAACAACAGACAAACAGATGAAGATCGAAAGATGGAATGTGTCTAAATTGGAAGAAGAAGAAGAGGGAAAGAGACAATACCAACTAGAATTGAGAAACAGATTCCAAGTGTTGGAAACGAAATAAAACGAAAGAGAAAATATAGGCCAGAAATGGCACCCCATTAAAACGATCATTACAGAAACAGCAGAAGTGTATAGGTCGGAAGAGAAAAGCAAAAAGAAAAAAATGGTTTGATGAAGAATGCGAGGATACCTTAAAATAAGCAAACAAAAGAAGAATCAACTACCTAGCAAACCCGACGGATGAAAAGCGTGAACAATATAATAGAGAGACAGCCTTAGCCAGAAGAACAGTAAGGAGAAAAAAGAGACAACATTTACAACAACAAATTGAAAAAGTAAAACGTGAACACAGAAGCAAGCAAAATAAAAAATTCTACAAAGAAGTAAGACAACATAAGAAAGGTGCATACATAAGAACACCGAACTTTGTGAGAGACAAACATGAGCAAATGATTACAGCTGAAAATAAAATAATCGAAAGACGGGCTGAATACTTTGAAAGTCTGCTAAATGTCCAGGTAGACGCGGATGGAAATAAAGCAAATTGTAAGTACCAAACGGCCGAGATAGAAGTACCCCCGCCAAGCCTGGAAGAAATTATCACGGCGATAGAAACCTTAAAAAATGACAAATCCCCGGACTAGACAATATTGATGCAGAACTAATTAAAAAAGGAGGGCATGAACTTAGAACTAAAATACACCAATTAATGAAAGAAGCCTGGAAACAAGAAATAATGCCAAAAGAATGGAGTGGCTGTATTATCGTGCCAATACATAAAAAAGGCAGAAAGCATACATGTGGCAACTACAGGGAAATCTCACTAATCGGTACTACATATAAGATATTAGCTTCAGTTGTACTAAAACGATTACTGCCATATACAGAGGAAATTATTGGCGATTACCAATGCGGCTTTAGGCCTGGAAGATCAACAATCGACCAAATATTTACTATCAGACAAATGCTAGAAAAGTATTGGGAAAATAATAAAGACGTACACCAGATCTTCATAGATTTCAAACAAGCATATGATTCCATAGGTCGCTTAAAACTGTGGAGTGCAATGATGGAGTTAGGCGTACCACAGAAGCTGACAGTAGGAGGCAAAACTTCAAAGGCTTTCGGCATAAGCACCGGGCTCAGACAGGAAGACCCGCTGTCCCCATTACTATTTTACTATTTAACCTAGCATTGGAATACGCAATGCGAAAAATCTATACCAGAGTCAAACCAGACATAACTGCCAGAGGATCAAAGATTATTCTCGCATTTGCAGATGATGTAGATGCAGTAGCACAGACAACACTGGAAGTTAAGGATATAGTATCGAACTTTGAAGAAGCAACACTAAGCGTAGGCCTGAAAATAAACGAAGAAAATACTAAATACATGGTCGTATCAAAAAAGGAACGACAGCGAATAAGACAAAACATTACCATAAACGATCATAATTTTGAGGTGGTCAAAGAATTCAAATACCTAGGAGCAGCAATTACCAGTGAAAACACAGGAGAACGGGAGGTTGAAATACGAATACTGACGGGGAATAAATCATTATTTGCCATTCAACATCTAATGAGGTCAATTCTTTCAAGGCGTGCCAAAATCCAAATGTACAAAACCATAATACGACCAGCAGTGACATATGGAAGTAAAACATGGACATTGAGAAAGAAAGAAATCAATAAGCTATTAGTATGGGAACGCAAAATCCTGCGAATTATATATGGTCCTTGCAGGGACAGCGTGACAAATGAATGGAGGAGCAGATACAACAATGAAATAGAGACTCTCTTCGGGAAAGGAAACATCGTAAGATACATAAAAGCCAATAGATTAAGATGGGCAGGCCACGTGGTACGGAGTGATGACGACAGACTGATTAGCAATGTGTTTTGGGAAAGACCAGATGGTAAAAGATCGACAGGAAGGCCTAGAAAAAGGTGGAAAGACGCAGTCAGGGAAGACCTGGAGAAGATGGAAGTAAGGCCATGGGAAATAATAGCACAGGATCGGAATCAATGGAAGGCAATAGTAAATGCGGCAAAAACTCACGAAGAGTTGTAAAAGCCAACAATGATGATGAGTGTTTGCATGAGACCAGATTGATAAGACTGCTTAATTTGCATTATAGATAGTTTTTCCAACATAGTTTCTTATTAAAAATCGTTCCCAAAGTGTTTCACATAAGTTAAGTTATTTCCATATAGCTAAAGAACTTGATCTGTAGAGCGCCGTTTTTTTTTTTTGAAAATAAAATAATCCCACAGCTTTCGACCAGTTTTTAAGGTGATTTAATGCACATTGTAAGTTTTTCTTTATAGAAAGAATATTTTTGCACTTGAATATATAACCAAATCATTAGCATATAATCTCGCCTTAAGAAGTTTTGCAAAATTTTCTAAATTAGGTTTATCGCTGCTAAGAATAGTGTTGAACTAATAACAGATCCTTAATGTGTTTCATTTGTTTGGTCTTTAGTGCTAGATACTAAACTATTTAACTTTAAATTGTTTCTTGTTAGGAAAATTATGAATAAAATATAGCATGTTACCTTTGACACCCAAAGACTCAGTGTGTTAAGACTATTGTGTCTCCAAGCCATGTCAAACAGTTTTGTTATATCGAAAAAGACAGCAAGACATTCCTGTCCAATTGCAAATGATTTATGTATTTCGGACTCTAGGTCTATTAAATTATCTATGGTGGATTTTCTCATGCGAAAGCCGCTTTTTTTATTGATTATTAATATATTGTTTTCCAAAAACCAAATTAGTATATAAGTCACCATTCTTTCTAAGATTTGACACATTGTATTAGTAAGAGAAATTATCATATACGAATCAGGACCAGTTCGTGATTTATTTGGTTTTAGTAATGGAATTATTATCGCCTGCGCCCATTTTGTAGGAAATTCAATATTTGTCAAAATTCTGTTGGATTAAGGTTAAGAAGATATATATATATATATATATATATATATATATATATATATATATATATATATTCATTATCTGGTAGATTTTGTAAGAAAATAACACAAATTACATAAACTTTTGGTAATGGTACGCCAATAATGTTGGGCTTAGATTGTTTAATTATTTGTGTCTTATCGCCAATTCTTGTCTCATGCTTTTTGAATTTCTACTACACAGTGATTGCTAGTTAAAATTGTGATGGTTAAGCTCTGTACGATGTATGATCATTATATCTCATTTACTCGAGCAATGTTGGTTTATTTGATAATACAACCATGGCGCCTATGGTACTAAAGAGTTAACCAAAATTATATGAGAGGTTAAAGATATTTTGTAATTACATCACAAAGCAAATTTATGTTTATATAAGTTTGTACATATAAATATTTTTTAGGTGAACTGGCAACAGCAGTAAGGGCTAAGAATCTCAAGTTCGGGTTATACCACTCCTATTATGAATGGTTTAATCAACTATATCTAGCTGACAAAGCCAATGGATATAAAACACAAGATTTCGTAGACCGTAAGGTAAATGTTGTAAAATGGTATTTTTGAATGTATTTGTATCCGGTTTATTATGTGAATTTGATATCATAATTATTGTAGGTTTATCTGATAATATTTATCTAAAGATTCTTTCTTACATCAAACCGATATTAATTTCTTTTATATACATGTGTGAATAGGATAGCTCAGGTGATAAAGTATCTAACTATAACGAAGAAGTCCGGGGACCGATCCCCAACTCCGACGAACACATCTAATATATTATAAATATGTTTAAATATGCATGTGCAGCATGCACGGTACGATAATTTATTAGAAACGATATTTTATTCTAATCATTAAGAAAACCAACGTTTTAGAACAAGTCAACAAGTTCAAGTACCTGGGAAGTTGGATCGATAGAAGCCTAAATTCTGATCTAGTAATAAGATCGAGAATACAATTAGCCAGAAAATCTTTCGAAGAAATCAAGAGGCTGCTATATGATTCTCGAACAAAACTCGAAATTCGACTATACGTCTGGTCGACTCTTCTCTATGCAGTTAAAACGTGGATCCTTAAAACACAAACGGTAAATAAACTGGAAGGTTGGTCTAGAAATAAACATCAACAAAACTAAAGAAATGCGATTTGGTACCAGAAACAACCAACCTATTATGATCAACGATCAGAAAATTGAGAGAGTAGCGGAATTTGTATATCTGGGCAGCATAATTTTATTGACTGTAATGGGGGTACAGGGCGTGATGTACATAAAAGAATAAATAAGGCTCGCAACGCCTACAACATGCTTAACAACATATGGAAATCCAGGATTTACCCAACTAAAACGAAATTAAAAATCTTCAACACAAATGTAAAAGCTGTATAACTGTATGGCTGCGAAACGTGGAAGATATCAGCACCCATAGTACACCAATTACAAGTTTTCATCAATAGAGCGTTACGAAAACCCTTCGTATATTTTGGCGTAACCGAATCTCCAATGAAAATTTATGGAACCAAAGCAACCAAGAAAATGTCATAAAGCAAATAAGGCGAAGAAAATGGAGATGGCTGGGCCACACACTCCGTAGATCGCCAAATGACATTGCGAGGACAGCGCTGGATTGGAATCCCCAAGGCCGACGGAAAGTAGGCAGACCTAAGGGAATTTGGAGAAGGACAGTACTGGACGAAGGGAGAAAAATGGGAAAATTCTGGCTTGAAATCAAAGCACTAGCCAGAAATAGAGTTCGCTGGAGATACTTTGTGGAAGCCCTATGTTCCTCTTAGGAATCTTGGGACTATATATATATATATATATATATATATATATATATATATATATATATATATATATATATATATATATATATAAACTGGAAGTATTAGAAATATGGATCTAGCGGAGAATCAACTTTACTAGATGCAATAAATAGTGAATGCATTCAAATGGGACTTGACATCAACACAGATAAGACCAAATTTATGATAGTATCAAGGAGTCCAATAAATAATGAACAACCAAGTGTTGGTGGACAGCAAATAGAGAGAGTGACAAAATGTAAATATCTGGGAGCTTACATCAACACAGAATTAGATCCAGACCAAGAGATCCGGGTACGAATAGAAATGGCAAGGGCAGCGTTCTTAAAATTCAAACAATTGTTCTGTGACAAAAATCTGAATATTGCGCTGAGACTGAGGTTTGTTGAATGTTACGTCTGGTCGCAACTATTGTACGGGGTAGAAACATGGTCACTAAAAGCGCAAATAGTTAAAAAGATTGAAGCCTTTGAACTTTGGATATACCGGAGAATGTTCAGAATCCCATGAACTACCAGGGTCACCAATGAGGAAGTGCCGAGAAGAATGGGTCGAGTCAAAAAATTGTTGAGAACGATAAAAGTACGCAAGACTGCATACCTTGGACACATACTAAGAAATAATAAATATAGTCTTCTGCAGGTCATCATGCAGGGTAGAGTCGATGGCAAAAAGGGAATAGGTAGAAAGAGGAAGTCATGGCTGCGAAATATTCGAAACATGACTGTAGACGAATTATTCCACGTTGCAAAAGACAGAGAAGCTTTTAAAAATGTGGTTGCCAACCTCCGTTAATGGGGACGGCATAGGAAGAAGAAGAAGCGGAGAATCCTCAAGATTTCATGGACATCGCACACCTCAAACGAAGAAGTCCTGTGAAGAAGCGAAGAATAGACAAGGAACGAGAACTTTTCAACACATTATAATGTGCATTATAATTATAAGTAATTTTGCTGATTTTTTTCCTCTCAATCATTTAGGGTAATCTGTAGTTGTATTTGTAATTCTACAAATCTCCATTATGACTAATTTTTACTCAGCGCTTAATTTAACTAGACAAAAAGGCCCATTATTGTTTTAAAAATTGCCTTCGCACTACCTTATCCTAATCATGATTATTACACGTATAAATTACTGAACTCCGCCTTCGGTAGGTACTGGGTGAATTGAGTAGCTCAGTAAATGCCGATGCCGGTCCCAAGCCCGGATAAAGGAGGAGGGTTGAGGCGATGGGCTAGCAACTCGTCCCTTGTCAAAAGAAATTAATGCTAAAAATTTCGACCAAAAGCCTCGGAATACAAAGGATGGATCAACACAAAGACGACTAATGCAACGAAAAAGGAAAATGATATTGGCTACATGGAATGTACAAGGACTGAGAACCAAACAAGCAGAAGTATTCAAAGAATTAGCGGAAAGAAAAATAGATATATGTGTTCTCACAGAAACCAAGAAAAAGGGAAAAGGAAATGAAGAGATAGGAGAATATATACATATCTACAGCGGAGTGAGTAAAGATAACAGAGCTAAGAGGGGAGTCTCTATTGCCATTCGAAAAAATCTTAAAAACAACATTAAATCGTGGACTGAAGTAAATGAACAACTACTAATACTGGAAATGAAAAAGAATGGGCACAATATCGTAATTGTCGGAGTATATGCCCCAAACGAAGATGCAAATCCAGAAAGTAAAGACGATTTCTACGACAATATGAATGAAATACTCTCTGAAGTTAAAGAAAACTGTGAAATCTTTATACTAGGAGATTTAAACGGCAGAGTAGGGACAGAAGAAAACTAGCAGAGTCGTAGGAAGATATGGAGAACAAATAACCAATGACAACGGAATGCGTCTTAGAGATTTTTGTGAAATAATGTCTCTCAAAATTATGAATGGATTTTTTCAACATAGAGACATCCACAAATTTACATGGATACAACCTACTAGGAATCTGCGCTCGATAATCGACTTTGTAATCCAACGTCAAACTTCCCAGCTGAAAACAACTGACGTAAGGGTATACCGTGGATCAGAATGTGGATCCGACCATCATTTACTTATGGCCAATGTGATAGTTAACTATCGCAAAAACAATAACACTCAGGTACAGAATATAGAAAAGGGACAAAAAGTAACATCTCCTAAATATAACCTAGAAAGCTTAAAAGAAGATTCAACAAAATTTCTTTACAAATTACGACTGGCCACAAAATTACAAAATGTGGATCGAGAAAATATAACAGCGGAAGAATTATACCAACAACTTAAAAAGTACATTCATGAGGCTGCAAGTGAAGCTTTGGGGTATAAAGACAAACATGAAACAAAAAATCAAGAATGGTGGTCGGAGAATATGCAAACGTTAGTAAACAAGAAGAAAACTGCTTATCAGAAATGGATGTCAACGAGAAAGGAGGAAGATCACAAAGTATATACGAAATTAAATCGAGATGTAAAAAGAGAAGTAGTGAAAAGTAAAAATGAGATGTGGGATCGAAGATGTGCAGAGGTGGATAGATATATGGGTGGAACAAGAGTTGGGCAAGCGTGGAAGGTGATAAAGTCTCTCCGGAGGGAAGGAAAGGAAAAATCTAACTTAAAATTAATAGATCTGAAACAGTGGAAACAGCATTATGAGGTCTTATTGACAGAGGATAGACGTAAATTCCAAGATATAGAAATGGAAGAAATATCTGAACATACACAAATAATTGAGATAACAACCGGAGAGTTAAGCGATGCCCTCAAAAGATCGAAAAACGGTAAAGCAGCAGGACCTGGAGACATCCCAATTGAGCTGGTAAAGTATGGACCAAAAATATTACACGAGATGATGGTTAAACTATTTAATAAATGCTTAAAAGGACAAAATATCCCTGATGATTGGAATGTTGGATACATCAGCTCAATATACAAAAAAGGGGATAAACGCAATTGCTCTAATTATAGAGGAATAACTGTTACTAGCTCAGTTGGGAGGTTGTATGGTCGAATAATAAAAAAACGAATTGAATCAGAATATGAAGACATAGAGGAACAAAATGGATTTCGGGCAGGAAGATCGTGCATTGATAATATATTCGTTCTGCAGCAGGTAATCGAAAAACGGAAGGCAAGGAATCTATCTACCCACCTATTGTTTGTAGATTTAGAGAAGGCATATGATACGGTACCTTTGAAAAAACTATTTTATACATTGACGAAAGTAGGTCTCAGTAGAGAGTATGTGGATGCTATCGCAAATATATACAAAAATGCAAGAAGTGTCGTTAAAGAAGGAAACTTTATATCTGAATCATTTCCAATAACCAAGGGGCTTAAACAAGGATGTTGTCTGTCTCCGACCCTGTTTAAAATATATATTCAATCATCGTTAGAGCAGTGGAGAAAACAAGTATCCGGAATGGGTATAGATATAGGCGGTGGTGAATGTCTAACAACTTTATTTTTCGCAGATGATCAGGTAGTCGTAGCGAATGACGAGGAAGACATGGACTACATGTTTAGAAAACTAAAGAAAGAATATGAAAAATGGGGCCTCAATATGAATATGGCAAAGACAGAGTATCTTAAAATAGGAGATGGTGAAGAAGATCCAGAGTTAGAAATTAGAAACACAAAAACATGCAATGAATATAAATATCTCGGATCTATAATATCTAAAGAAGGCACTACCAAAAGAGACATCGAAAACAGAACACAGCAGGGAAAAAAAGTGGTAAACATTCTAAACTCTCTACTTTGGTCTAAAGATATTAGACAAGAAACGAAATTGACAATCTATCGAACCTTGGTAGAGCCTATTATGACTTATGGGGCAGAGGTTTGGCAGATAACGCAGAAGGATAGAAAAAGAATAGAAGTAGTAGAAATGGATTTTCTAAGGAGAGCGTGTGGTATATCCAAAAAAGATCACATCAGGAATGAAGATATTAGAAGGAGGACAAATACCGTATATTCCAGTGTAGATAGAATTGAAACGAGACAACTAGTGTGGTATGGTCACGTGAAACGAATGAATGAAGATAGATGGCCAAAGAAAGCTTTAAATTACATACCACAACAAAGAAGAAGAAGGGGAAGGCCTTCAGTTGCCTGGGAAGAAAATGTACGGCACATAATGAGAGATAGAGCCATCAGAGAAGACGACTGGATGGACAGAAAACGATGGCGGTCGAAATGCGAGAAACGGCAGAGGCTGTAGGAACCTCGCTTATATATATATATATATATATATATATATATATATATATATATATATATATATATATATATATATATATATATATATATATATATATATAAATTACTAGAGGATTTATACATAAAATATTTAAAATTGCGTAAAAAGTAACTATAGACCATCGTCTAGATTTTCGGAGAACATCATGTGCTGAACATAAATAGTCTACTACCTCCGCCTTTTATTAAGTTATACAACTTTTAAATCTCTATTTTTATAGTTTATAAAGAACTATATTCTTTATCTATGGCGCCATTGCTGTGAAAACGACAAACGAATAACACTAATTTATTTTTTTGCACGTTTGCTCAATTACATTTTTATTTGGAAATCCTCATCCTCTGTCTCTCCTCTGGTGTTCTTTATTTAGCAACTTACTAAAGCACTCATACCATGTTTGATTTATTTCAACATCGGTTATTAACACTCTTCTATCCGCACGCTTAATCTGCCGCACATGGGTCAAGTCCTTTGATGACTTGTCCCTTGCTTTAGCAATGTTTTATAATCTTCCATCCTTTCGGGTGTTTCCAACTCTTTATAGAGCTGTGCAGACGATCTTTCCTTAGTAGTAGCTACAGCGCGCTTTGCTTTCTTCTTTGCCACCTTGTACATGTCCTTATCTTCTTTTCTTTTAGACCTGTCATACCTCTTTCTAGCCTCTTTATTCTCTCTAACCTCCTGTTGCACTTTATCGTTCCACCACCAAGTTTCTTTGTCTCTAAGAGGCCGTTTACTACATGATCTCGCAATCAAGGGCTCTCCAAAATTCTTCTTTTTTGTTTTCTTCACACCCTACCTGTGGACGTAGGCATATATGATGTTCACATTGGTTTTGCCTGTATTCAGTTGGATACTCATTATTCTATCACTTCTTCTGGTTACCCTTAGAAGATCTTCCTTCCATTCGTTGTTCAAAAATAATATCTACACCATTTCTACCGTGACTGTTCGAACTACTATATATTAACTTGCATCCATCTCCAAGATCTCTCGACTTATTTACTTTCCAACGAGCTTCCTACACACAAAATACACCAATCCTTCTCCTCATGAAATCAGCTAGCTCTCTTTCTTTGTCTGTCATACTTCTGACGTTGAGAGTTGCAACTCTAAGGACTAGCTTCTTTGGCCCCTTCCGTCTTTTAAGCGGTAGCCCTAGCTCACTTCGGAGGGGTCAGGCGAAGCCACAACTGCGCGTCGGTTACGGGGAACGCACTAGCCTCTATACTATTTTCTATATTCCTTTTTCCATGGTTTTAGCAAGATTTTTACTGGCGACTGACCTACCTGACGCAAACCGTCCTACTTTATCCGGGCTTGCGACCGGCACTGGCAGTTACAGAGCTATTCAATTCACCCAGCAACTACCAGAGACGGAGTTTCAAAGCACCATATATAGATATAATTACCAAACCCCACATAATAAAGTTTACAAAACAAAATATTCTATAGCTTCCAAATCATTTTTTCCAGTGTTTTGACCCCCTAATTATTCAGCCATGGATCAGGTTGGTTAGATATACTAATCACCTCTAAAAATTGTAGTTATGGTGAATAAGGGACAATTTTGGTTTCAACTGTTTTTAGATTTCTGAAATTTGCAACCGCGTACATGGATTTGTTCTGCTTATCACTGTTTTGGGCCCTTCAACTTTGTCATAAGGTGTAATATTAATTTATGAATGTTTTTTGATTGCCTTATTATTCTGCCAAAGCATATGTGGTTTTATTTACTAATCACTATTTTTGGGCCTCTAAAATTTGCCGCAATAGAATATGTGGGTTTGCTAATCACTGTTCATCGGCTTCCGAAATATGCATCCATAGGTTAAGTGACTTTACAAATCACTGATGTTGGACCACCAAAATTTACAGCCATAGGACATGTAGTTTTACTAATTACTGTTTCTGGTTCCTCAAAATTTTCAGCCATAGAGTCTGTGGGTTTACTAATCACAATTTTTGGATCTCTAAAATTTGCATTAATAGTGTATGTGGTTTTACTAATCACTGTTTATGAATCGCCAAAATTTTCAGATTATGTCCATTTACTAATCATTGTTTTTGGACCCCCAAAATTTTCACCCAAAAGGTATGTCTTTTTACAATTGTGAGTGAGGGGATCATTAATTTTGGGTGGGACTTCCGCCATAGCCATTCATGGGAATCGATATTTTATTAACTATTTTTTATATTTTTAAAGGAATAATACCTTCACCAGTAAATTTCAGCGCACATTCTAGATCGTGATTTATTGAATCGAAGCGAAAAATACAACATGATTTGTTGATTTGTCATGTACAAATCGTAGAAACTATTGAATCGTAGTTTATAATAAGCTTTCTGCAAAGTAAAATAGAGAACACGAACATAATTTTGGTATTATTATTTTCTTTCATTGTTTAGTTATTTTTGTTTTTTTTTAGACAGACCCCGAATTAAGAGAACTTGTGAACACATATAAACCTTCCGTTATATGGTCTGACGGTGACTGGGACGCTCCAGACACTTACTGGAGATCGAAAGAATTCTTAGCATGGCTGTACAACGAAAGTCCAGTCAAAGATGAAGTAGTAGTAAACGATAGATGGGGATCTGGAATTCCCTGTACTCATGGAGGATTTTTCTCATGTCAAGATAGATACAATCCAGGTATTTAAAAAACTAAGAGTGATACAATTATTATTTGTTTTCAGAAAATTGTACAGTTTATAAAAATTGCTGAACTTTACCACAATATTTAACCTAATAGACATTATTTAAAGTGATATAAATATTATTTGCTTTCATTATTTATTATATATTTAATATTATTGTTCCTGTACCAATGGCCATAGCTGTCGAGGTACTTTATGTAAATAAGAAAAATATTTGGTATTACTCTAATGAAAATATTTACTTCATTAACTATTAAAAATTAAAAAAATATATACTGTTTACTACAAAAACATGACAGCATAACATATTTTTACAAACTAAAGTATCCAGTATTTATTATTTGTTGCTTAACAAAAAAGTTGCTTGATGCTTAACACTCTTTAGCTTATGATGAAATGCATGTTTTCAAATATACAGAATGTGATAACTCGATGTTAGAAAAAATGTGGTTTAACTTATTATTGCATAACACTATCCAGACATGATTCGTGAGAAATTCTGGTTCCAAAATTTTTTTGTTCAGTGTTGGCAAATGGTAGAAAACTGATCGACCGACCGCGTAAAACATGGAGTGATAACCTTTTTTATTTATATTTACTTTTATATAAGTATCAATCCGTTAATGAACAAGCATAATGACTTATATGTAAAAAAAATATATTGAAACAATGTTTTCATAAGGTAAACCAACGTAATAACTGCCCAGATAAGGATTATTTGACTTTAGACGTAAATATTAAGCAAACGAAATAATAGAGAAAATGGATTTAAAGTATATTTGATAGTTTGAGGTTTTCCTTATCAAAATAATTAATAAAACATAAAAAATGTGTTTTTATTCGCCAAAAAAATTGTTTTCACTAAAATACAAAAACTTTAATTCCAGCCTATCTTGAAAAATTGGTGGTAATTCCGGCCTAATGGTGATCTAATTCGGGCCTGTATATCAAAAGAATTACTTTTTGTTTTAAACTGTACACACATTTTTTTTAAATATTTATTTTCAATATTTTTAAAAGTAGCTATAAAAATACAGGAGCATAAAAACATCATTTTTATATAGAAGAGGCATAGAAAAACTAAATAACATAAAACGATGTACATACGAAATACATTTTGAACCTGAATTAAATGTTTTCGAAATAAAAAAAAAACAACAAAAAATACTATAAGCTATTTAGCAACAGTATTTTTTATTTATTGCATAACAGTGAAGAGGATAGGTCTACAAATTTCTTATCTTAGGTACAGAAAAAAGACCCCTTTTATTAATGGCATGAGATGGTGAAATTAAACAAACAATTTCCTCTAGATCATACTATATAATATCATCTGTCGCTGGCAATCTCCAATGATATCCTATTTTTTCTATAGCGTTGATTTTAAATTTATCTTGTTATTTCTTCTACTATTCCTGAAAAAAGTCTCTTCTCATAAACTACAATGACGTTAGTCAACTACTTCGTAGTCGCCCATTTCTAAATCCATAGAATTGTTAGCTTTTGGTTTTCTAATTCTTTTACCTGTTTTTCTGTCAGAACAACATTTTTTGGAATTTTATTTTATTTTTTATCGGCACAATTTATCCCTCCTTGATATCAGATTCTGCGATTTTCTTCGTGATTTTAGGTGCTTTTTTTCTTTTTCGTTAAGTTTTTGTTTTTTCCTTGCTTCCTTTTTATTTTTTTTTTCGGCTTCTACTCTACTCTGGTACTCCGTGAAATAATCAGCAATCGCTACTACAGGTGTTAATATTTTTGTAGCCTTTCTTTTGGACGTTTGAGATATTTTTCTGGGTAAATAAAATGCATTTTTACATGGCGTTGGAAATTTTAGGGGAGTGATAAAATAGGATTCATGAGAATTTATAGGAGATTGATTGTATGTTGTAAATTCTACTGTAGATGTTTTTGATGGTACGTTCTCCTTAAGAGGTGAGGTATTAAACATTTTTTTTTAAATCTAGAGTTAAGTAAGAGGCGTCATTTTCTTTCAAGTGAGAATCTATATCATCACTGTTTTCTTTAGTAGCTGATCTTGACCGTGATCTTTCAACACATCTGTGACGCCTCTTTGACTGAAATAATCATATACTTTCTTGAACTAATTTCTTATTATTTTCTCTGTAATGGAGGAACGACTAACTGTCAGATTTTGCGATACACGAAGTCTAACTTTTGGATACCGGGTTAGGAAATGTTGATACCATATGTTTCCGGAATTCCATTTTTAAATGGATTGGCTCTCTTTAAATTATTAATGAGCACTGTTGCGGTGTTAATAAGCTGATTGCTTGTCACGGGAAAACCCGCGGCAGTAAAAAAATATGAATTTTACGATTCGTTTTTCTTCATTATTGAATATTTGCTCTTGTGATAATCTCTTTATTTATTGTGATATTGTTATTCCTAAAAAGTTCTTCACTTCACCCAGATCCTTGGCACAAACATTGTTTTTCAAAATATCTATTGTTTCTTTTATTTTCTGTTCATGTCCTGTTAATATTATATCGTCAACATAAACAATCATAAATATGTCTTCTCCAATATATAGACAAAAATCGTGTTTTGATCTACTAAATCCATTCTCTGTTACAACTCTATTAAAAGTATGATTCCAGCATTTTGGTGATTCTTTTAAACCATATAATGCTCTATTTAATTTTAAAACCTTTCCCCTGTCTATTATTAGTCCTTGTGGAGGATAAATATATATATCTGAATCAAGTTTTCCATTTAAGAAAGCTGTTGGCACATCAAGTTGATAAATTTTCTAGTCTCTTTGCAGTGCATGAGCCAGCATCATTTTCAGTGTGCTCATTCTTGCCACAGGTGCATAGGTCGATTTTAGTGGATTCTCCTCCTGTACTTGAAAACCCTTTGCAACCAACCTTGCTTTATGAGTTCCATCATCTTTAATTTTAAAAATCCATCTTGTATCTACAATCTTTTTGTTATCAGGTAAATTAACTGGTGTCCATGTGTTTAGGTTTTCCAATGACTCCAGTTCTTGATTAATTGCGTTATTCTACTCTCCATTTTTCTGCGCTTCTTCAAACGTCTCTGGTTCACCGTTCAATGATAGTAAACAATAAGCTGAATCTAATTCATATTCACTTAAATGTTTTGGTAAGTGTACCTCTCTTCCTCTTCTAGTATATATTAGGTCCTCTTCATTATTATCTATTTCATTTCTAATTACTTCTTTGTTTTCATCTAAACTTTCAGAATTTTCTTCATTTTGGATCCAAACTGTTTGACTTTTACTGTTATCATTAACCTCATCGATTACATTACCTTTATATTCAACTTATTTTTCATCAAAAATAACATCTGTAGATTATTAATAAGATACTAAGATTACTAAGATTACTAAGATACTAAGATACTAAGATTAGAAATACTAAGATTATTAATAGTATTCTCACCATGCTATATTTGAGATGGTGTTTTACCACCATTAGCTGTTGTAGGACTCCTGTTCAATTCATAACTTCACCTTCAACCAACTTCCACCAACTTCATAACATCTTATTGCTTCACCCCACAAATGTTTGGGCAAGTTAGTTTCTCCTAGTTTAACTCTAACTTTATTTATCAATGTACGATTCATTCTTTCAGATGTACCATTTTCCTGTGGAGTGTATGGTTGAGTATACTGTAACTCAATACCCTTTTGTCTACAAATATTTTTAAAATTTCTTGATGAGAATTCACCCCCATTATCTAGTCTGATACTCTGAGTTTTAACAATATGTTCAGTTTTAATTAAATTTATGAAATCAAGAACATTATTTTCAGCTTCACTTTTATGTTTTAATAATTTAACTAGGTACTGTAAAATGTGAGAAATCATCAACTAATGCCTGAAAATATTTTTCTCCATCTAAAGTAGGGTTAGCAACTGGCCCTGCTATATCTGAATGTATTAAATCACCAATTCTTTTGCTTTTCTTTTCTTTACTATGAAAGCTTCGTCTTGTACTTTTACCCTGAATACAACTTTCACATGGTTCGTTTGAAAAAGGTAATTGTAAAAATTTTAAGCCTAAATGATTCAAATGCCCTAAGCGTCTATGCCAAATGTTTCTATTTAACTCAGTTTTATCTAAAACGTTTACATTTAAGGCCACACATTCTATTTCTAACTTAAAAAGATACAAATTATTTAATTTAGGACATTCAACAGTATATGTTTTTTCCTAAAAAAAAACAAATGTGAATAATTGAGTCTCAATTTTTTTCAAAATTTTTTTTGTATATACCATGTCAGGCTAAATTTGGGTTAGACCGGAATTAGAACACATGCAAAATATAATAAAATCTAATATCGTCCAGAATTAAATAAAATTATTTTAATGTTTTCTTGTAATTAATAAATTGTCAGACTATATATATATATTTTAGCTTTAGTAAGTTACAAAAAAAATTTGTTTTGGGTAATAAATTCGAGAATTTTTTCAATTTTCTACCATTAGAAATAACTACCGGACTTTCCTTGTTAGAAACATCCTTTTTTACTTTTGGAAAAAAAAAGTATGGGACGGAATTTAATAATACGTTTTTGGTAATATATTTTTTTTTTAAATAATTTTTGATATTGAAGAACAAAAAGTTGAATTGAAAAGAAAACACGAACATTCGTAATTACGCGTCATTGGCCGGATTTGGATTTACTACTAAAATTGTACCCTAATACTGGCTTAATCTATTTTTTTAAATGCTACTTTGTTTTGGCAACAAAACTAAAGTGTTTGATAACAAATACAACTATTAACCATGTTACGTCCTTCCACACATATTCTTATTTTTTATTAATAACTTTTTTATTGTTATTTTTTTATATTTAATTATTTAATTACGTGTATGTCTTATATACGTAAAATAATACGCCCCTGTACGCACCACCCCTATGAGACTTAAGCGAAGCGAAGCGACCAGACTACACGCACCTCAGTCTTGTATAGATCAGCGCGATGAACAAACCACTTCTAATGAACAAACTACTGTATCTAGGTGAAAAATTATTTTCTGTAATAATTTGCAAGCATAATATTGTACCCAATAAATTTCTAAATGCTTACCTGAAACACTAAGGATTGTCCACCGCTCTCGATTGCGTCGCTTGATTAAATCGAACTGACTAAAACAAAAGCTAGAACACGTTATGCCACCATTTTTACACACCAAAAAATCCTAATAAATTTCTCGCTAAAATACACACGCGCCATAATATTAAGTTTAACTAACTTAAACGTTTTTACAAAAAAAAATTATTGGCCCGATTTACATTACAAATTTGTATAGGCCGTTAATAAAATAAGTAGGTTGACCTATGCTGTTTTAGTTAAAGCCGTTAGTGGAGAATAACTCGTAACTCAACAAACTTTATTGCTTCGGCAACATACCAAAAATTATCAATTCATTCTATACAATTTACGATATTAGTTTTTGGTTACGATGCGAAAGCGACATTCAGTATCGTAAATGGAATAAAATTAATTAAATGACCAAGCTAAACTCTTTATTTTTTACTTAAATAACCATAATAGCTACTGGAAACTTATATAGGTACCCTCATAGCTCTTTTAGAATTTACTTGATATTTTTATCCCTTTCATGATTCTGGTTGATTCGTAAAATTCTAGATAATTATATTTTTCATCATTATCATCATTCTGGCTTTGCAACCATGCGTGGGTCCTAGCCTCCTCAAGAATTTCTCTCCATTCGTCCCTATCTATTTCTCCGTCAAGCACGTATTCATGGAATTAAGCAACCTTGTTCTGGGTCGTTCTCTTCTTCTCTGACCAATGGATCTATCAAAGAGCGTTTTCTAGCTGGATCATTTTGTTCCATTCAAATTACATGCCCTATCGACCTCAGACGTCCTATCTTAATGTGTTTTGCGATATCAGATTCCTGGTATATTCTATAAAGTTCGAAGTTCTATCGTCTTCTTTACACTCTATTGTCATTCACTGCTCCATAGATTCGCCTTAGTACTTTTCTTTCGAAACATCCTAATATGTTTTCAATATTTTTTTACTACCAAAGTTTCAATATCAAAACTGATTTGGTATTCCTACCCGTTTCATTGTTTTGAACATTTTTGTTCAATGCAATTGAACAAAATGTTGTTCAAACAATGTATATCAATGCCATATTCCAGTCTTTTTTCCAAAATTTATTTCAAGGTTGCAATATGATGAATTGTCGATTTACTACCTCTGAAACCAGCCTTGTATTTTCCTATTATCCGTTCTGTATATGGCGCCATACGATGAAATAGTACTGTGGAAAATATTTTATACTCTGCATTTGGAAGTGTAATTCCTCTGTGGTTAGAGCAATCAAAGATATCTCCTTTTGTATATATGATATTTCAATCATTGGAGAGGAATTTCTCTATCCATATTTCTTTTATAAGCTGCTGTAATGCCATTATGGTATCATGGCCCCCTTCTTTATATAGTTCAGCTTTGAGATTATCTATTCCGGATGATTTCTTCTTTGGGTAGTTTTTTAACTGCATCTTTAACTTCAAGGTCGTTGGTGGTTCCTCTTCCCTCTCGTCTGTTCTACTTATCTCATCTCTTTCGTCTTCCAGGTTTTCTTCATCTTCCTTTATATGAAGTACCTTGTTAAAGTAATCCACCCATCTATTTAATACATCTTTCCTTGGTGTTAATAGGTTGCCATTTTGACTTCTGCATTGTATTCTGGTTGCCCTGAAATATTTTCTGCTTATGTTAACTTTCTTATAGAATGCTCTGAATTATTTCTCTTAAATTATATTTTTCTGTTAATATAATTCTGAAATACACTACCCAATGTGAGACACAATGCAAATTCATTACAATATAATATAATATAATTTCTTGCTATATCTAAATTTTATTTCTCTCTAGGTACTCTTCAACAACACAAGTGGGAAAATGCTATGACAATTGATCACAAATCTTGGGGATTTAGAAGAAATGCGAAACTGTCTGATTACATGACCATAGAAGAACTTCTGTACCAATTGGTTTCTACAGTCAGTTGTGGAGGTATTTTACTTGTTATAATAACTATCCTGTAAAAACTAATCGAACACTATTTTTAAGGTAACCTCCTTATGAACGTCGGACCTACAAAAGATGGTATAATTGCTCCTATTTTCCAACAGCGTCTTAAAGATCTGGGTACTTGGTTGTCAATCAACGGTGACTCTATCTATAGTACAAGGCCATGGACATCACAAAATGATTCATTGACAAATGGGGTTTGGTATACCAGCAAAGGTTCTGATGTATATGCCATTAGTCTGCAATGGCCTAAAGATAATACATTGAATTTGGGATCGGCCATTGATCTTTTCAAAAATGCAAATACTTCGGTATATTTGCTTGGCCATGAAAATGGTGAAGCATTAAAGGTAATTATGATATTTCTATAATATTACAATGATCAAATCTCATAAAACCAAAATCCAATAATTCAAAATTTCAATTTTCGTGTGATATTTTTTAAATGTCGTTTATTATAAGAACCGGCCGTTTATTATAATAATCTAGTTCATGTAGTTTTGAATTTAAAAACACTTTTTCATAAACAAAACGTGAATTTTGTTATATAAAATAACATAAAAATTGGGTAACATAAAAACTTAATTACTGGGTTTTTTGGATTATCGGAAATTCTAGAGAAGTAAGACGGTAGTAAACGTTGCCTTCTTATAAAAAGTCGAGGTTCTGAAGATTCGATATAAAGAGTTTCAAAAGGACTTAATTTAAAGGCGCCGAGGCTAATGTGTAAAGAAGTATTGTGAATTGTATTCAGACTCTTAAGGTGAGTGTCGGAAGCAGATATGTAGAGAATGTTTCCGTAATCCAACCTAGAGCCGATCAATGTTCTGTAAATTCTTAAGAGGATTTTCTCTTCTGCTCCCATTGATGATGAGCTAGAGTTTTTTAAGATATTGATTTTATTTAGGCAGCTTGTTTTTGTATTCTGTATCTAATCTCTCCATGTAAGTCTTTTATCGAATATTACTCTTAATAATTTGTGTTGATCAACAACTTGAAGAGGAGATCCATTGAGGTGAAGTGCAGGAGGGTGAGTGTGATGTCTTCTAGAGAAGTTTATGACTTTAGATTTTCTAGATGAAAATTTGACTCCAATTTTAGTAGACCAGTTATGTAGATTGTTAAGAGTGTTTTGGATCAAAGAGCATGTGCTCCTTGTAACTTTACCTTGGCCATAAAGAACAAGATCATCTGCGTATATTGAGTATTTTATTGGAGGGATAACAAGAGAGTTTATATCGTTAATACTAAGAAGGAATAGTGTGGGGCTGAGAACTGAGCCTTGGGGGGACTCCATTTTGTGAGATATGTGATGTAGATGTTTTCTCGTTTGCAACTACTTTGGATGATCTCTTTGTAACAAATTGTTTATATATATATATATATATATATATATATTATATATATATATATATATATATATATATATATATATAATATAACAAGCGAGTCTTCTACAGCTGGCGCCGCTTCTCGCATCCTAATTTCCAGCGTTTTCTGTCGAAGCAATCTTCAGTTGTTAGATCTCTGGCGGTCATTGCATTGTCGACATCGTCTCTCCAGGATCGTCTTGGTCTACCTCGTTTTCTTGTAGTTGGCGGAGTCCATTCTTCTATTTTTTTTGGCCATCTATTTTCCGGCATTCTCTGAAGGTTTCCATACCAGTTAAGTCTTTTGGCTTCGATTGTGTCTATTATGTCAAGATCGATTTCCATTTCTCTTCGAATATCTTCGTTTCTCACCCTATCTAGTCTAGTGAGCTGGCAACATCGTCTCCAGTAGTTCATTTCCATGGCCTTAATTCTTGATTTGTTTCTTTGGTTTATTTCCCAGAGTTCGGCGCCATACAGTCCAATACTTTCTATTATTGTTTTATAAATTCTTCTTTTATTTTCTTTTGTTATTTTTTTATTCCATAATAGTCCGTGTAGCTGTCTGGTGGCTGATCTTGCTTGGCCAATCCTGGAATGTATTTCTTCGCTACTTCCTGCTTTTGATGTTATTTGGACTCCCAAGTACTTAAAATTGTCTGTTGGTTTTATAGTTCCCATTTCTATTTGTAGGCTTTCTGGTTGTTCTCCTACAACTAAGTACTCAGTTTTTTGTATATTAATTGTGAGGCCCCATTTGGTGTACTCATCTTCCAGTTTTCTAAGCATGTAGCTTATATCACTCTCGTCTTCAGCTAGAATGGCTTGGTCATCAGCGAAATGTATCGTGTACAATCTATCATCTCCGATTGGGATGCCCATATTGCAGCACTTTCTTCTCCACAGTGAGAGTGCCTCATTTAGATATATTTTGAAGAGTGTAGGTGCTATGCAGCAGCCTTGCTTTAGGCCCTTACTAATAGGAATTTCTCTAGTTAATCTATTTCCAGTTTTAATGTTTGCCGTCATATTTTTGTAGAGCTGTTGTACTGCTTGTATATTTTTTTTGCTTATTCCTTGTTTTTCCATTGCTACCCAAAGCATTGAAAGTGGTACACTATCGTATGCCTTTGTCAGATCTATAAAGACTATATGAGTTGAAAGGTTGTGGGCTAATCTTTTTTCGATAACTTGCTTTAGAGAGAATATACTGTCCATGCAGGATCTGCCTGCACGAAAGCCATTCTGTTCTTCTACATCTGTCATCTCTTTTTCAATTTTATTTTTTATTATTTTTCCATACAGTCTTGAGAGTGAATTTATGACACTTAGCCCCCTATAGTTTGAACAATTCTTTCTATCTCCTTTTTTGTATATGTTGTTAATATGTGCTTTTGTCCACTCCGGTGGTAAGTCGTGTCCATTATAGAATAAGGTGAAGACATACGCCAGTAATTCCCGTAATACTTGTGGGCTATGTTTTAATAATTCATTTGGTATACCTTGTGGTCCGCATGACTTCCGATTTTTTAGAGTTCGTATTGCATTCTCGACTTCCTGTACTGTTATTTCATCGTCTTCACTGAATTCCAGTTCATATGTTGTTGTACTGATGTTCGTGAATTGAGGTCTTGTTTCAGTTAAAAGTTGTGAGTAGTGTTCGATCCAAGATTTTTCTTCTATTAAATCTATTCTACTCGTTTCTTTTCTGTTTGTTCTCAGATTTTTTACCGTTTTCCATGCTTCTCTTGATCTTGTTGACCCTATATATTTGTTGAGTTCTTCGCATTTACTTTCCCAGGAAATATTTTTTGCTTTAGTTACTAAGTTTTTTACTTCTCTGTTTAATCTTGCATATGTTCGTCTATCATCTGGATCATTTGTTTGCAGCCACAAATTGTTTATAAAGGTGAAAATATTACCAGTTAAATTAAATTCCTCAAGTTTTCTAATAATAGCAGCTCTGTTTATTGTGTCGAAGGCACTTTCTAAGTCTAAGGCAACTGTGGTGACGTCATTCTTATTTGCTTGGGTTAGCTTGGCTTATTTCTCTTTGGAGAAGTACCAGGTTATCTATCGTACTCCGATTGGGTCTGAATCCTGACTGTGGTGCATCTATCAGATTGTTTTCTTCAAGAAAACAAAAAAAAATAAAAAAAATTTTATCTTTTCTAGTAGTTTTCACATTGTGCATGTTAGTGAGATTGGCCTGTGGGCACTGGCAGCGTTAGAAGATGATTCATTTTTTCTGATCGGTATGGTAAGCGACTGTCGCCAAAGACCCCGAAAGCTTTGGCTGAACCATACCTTATTATATAGCGCAAGTAGCTTCAAGAGGGTTCCTGCCTGTAGATGTTTAAAAAAGATAGAGGGGGTGTCATCGGGACCTGCAGATGAGTTTTTTATTGATGAGATTGCCAAATTTAACTCCACTTTTGTGAAGGCAAGGTTTATTGGATTAGTTTGGATAGGGTTAGGTGGTGAGTGGTTTGTGAGGTACGAAATGGAGAGTTCAGACTTCGTTTTGTTTTGCAAGTATTTGGCTAGCGTTTCGATTATTTGGTTATCATTTGTAATGACATTATCTCCGTCGGTTATTGCGGATATTTTGCGATATGTGTTTAAACCTCTCATTTGTTTAATTATTGTCCACACTTGGGCGGGAGAGGTGTCTGAAGTTATGCTGTTAACGAATTGTTTGCTTTCCTTGGAATTCGTTTGGATTTTGCACGCATTTTCTTGAAATAAATAAAATCTATCTGTTAAAAGCCGCTATGGGACGGCCTTTCTTGAGAACTTTATGGTACAGTTACCTATACATTGGTCGGCTGCAGTTAAAATGCAATTTATAAATTGCTCTACGGTAGCGTCAATGTTTTCCTTGAAAATTATTGGTTTAAAAGGACTTCAAGAATATCACTGAATAACCTCCAATTTGCATGGGCAATTTTCCATTTGTTTTTGACTTCCGCATTTTCGGTGATATGACTTGAGATTAAAATGGGGTAGTGATTGCTATCATATAAGCTATCTAGTGTTGGCCACTGAAGTAGAGGAGCGGTCCAAGGATCGCAAAAACTTGGGTCTATGCTAGAAGAGGTTCCAGACTGGTTGTGGAAATATGTGGAGCTTCCTGTTTTCAAGAGGTTGATGCTAGAGTTACTTATGATATCTTCGATATGTTTACCTCTCCCACCGCTGGGAACTCCATGTTGGGCTGTGAGCGTTAAAGTCTCAACTATAGCAACTAATATAAAAAGGTTTGGTTGTTGTATTATGAGGTCGCTTAGTTCTGAGCTAAATAAGTTATAGTTTGGAGGAATGTATATAGAACAAATAACTATCTTGCTTGTTAAGACACCATGCAATTATCACATCGCTTCTAGGCTTGTGTGTAAGTTAAATTCTTGATGGAAGATATCGTTAGAAACAGAAATAGACGAGCCACCACTTTCTCGTAGGTGTGAAGGTCTTAGGACGTTGTAGCTTGTGTAGTTTTTTTATGTAGCTTCATCTGAATTCGTTAGAAGGGTTAGCCTGGGTCACTACAGCCGAAAATGTTTTCGGCTATCAAGTTTTCTAGAGAAATAACAAGTGATTCTGAGGTTTGCTTAAAGGCTTCTTTGATAGCATCTTTCATTAAATCGGAAAGGCCACGTTCTGACGGTGAACTTGTACTGGGTTTCTTTTTTGGTTTCTTAATGTCTCTACTAGTAAGAGGCATGATGTTGGCCTCGGACGGATTTGCGATGAAGATGTTATCGGGAATATTAGTCTGCTCACTTGTACTCTCGATTTCAGAGTGGCCACGTTTATGTGTGGGCAGTTTAGTCATTATGGAATTGTTTAGTTCTGAATCAGACATGTGGTAACGTTGTGGGTTGTATAAAAGACTGTGGTAATGAGAGATCTGTTACCTGGGTTGATATTAACGGCTAAGGCTGGGATGTTATATAATTGGGTAGACGATTGGGACAATTCAAGGTAACATGTCCTGACTTCTTACATATGAAGCATTCTATTTTGTTTGTGGACAAAAATATTCTGTTTTCATTATCTTCGAATGGGTTAACTAATGAAGTTTTCAGATTAAAATTATCATCAGAGGTGAAAACATACACTTGTCTTCTAAAGCTCATGATGTGTAAATATTCATCGCCGGGGATACCTGTTCTTAAAAATGAGACGGGGAGGCCAGTTGGAGCCCAAGTTCTTTTATAGCATTTTCTGCAAGGTCGTGTGGTATACATGGAGATATATTGGATATTATTATTCTTTTTGTGGGGAGACTAGCCTGCGAACATTCATCACAGAAATTCTTACTGTCAAAATCGGATGAGATTTTAGAAGTTTGTCGACGAGTCCTGAATTAATTAAATATATACAAATTGAAAATACCATCGACCCAACGAGTTACAAATGCAGAAGTGTTAAGAAGGCTACAAAAAGATTGCGAGGTCATAAAGCACATCAAAACAAGAAAGTTGGAATATTTAGGTCACATTACCAGAGGTGCGAAATGTGAGATATTAAGGCTCATAATGCAAGGTAAAATCAGAGGTAAAAGATCCATAGGAAGACGAAGAATTCCTGGCTGAGAAACCTAAGAGAGTGGTATAGTTGCAGCTCAGTAGATCTTTTTAGAGCAGCCGCCAATAAGGTACGGATAGCTGTGATGATAGCCAACCTCCGATAGGAGAAGGAACTATAAGAAGAAGAATATAAATTCTGTTATTAGATATTCTGGATGCGAATAGAATTTGTTTGGGACCAATAGCGTAACCTACTGCCTTGACGTAATCGAACAATTTTAGATTTTCATCGGCATGCTTGCTTGCTATGGCTTGATCCCTCTTTGGAAAAGTTGATCTAGGAGTTGATTTGGTTGCAGTTGCATATGAGAAAGTTGAAGTAGAATTATGCTAAATACTTTGTGACATTTTGAAAAGTTGTAAACTGTAAACCGTGAGGATCTGATGTGAGAACTGTATTTGTTATCGGTAGGTAAAAGGTAGACGAAAAATTTAATTATTTGTTGATTTTAGTTAGGTTTTATGTATTTTCTTCCAAAAATACATATTAGGTAGGCCTATGCCACTGGTAGTTGGCCCAGTTTTTGAAGAAATTATCAATTTGTTAATTAACTAATCGATTTAAAAAAACATGCAATTAGACTTATCAATACATACGATAAAGTTTAGTCTTACTAGTATTTAAAAGTAATTGTTAGGTTTCACAAAAAACACTAAAACTCGGAGCAAAACACTGATAAGATGTTAACCTCGTTCAAGTACACACTCGGAATTACATTTATTATTTGAGAAATGGTTGAACTGCCAAGTAGCTTGATTTAAATGTAGAATCTTAACTATTATCTAATTTATATTTTATTGTGTTATAGTGGACTTTAGGTGAATCCTCAGTTACCATTAATTTCCCGGATAAATCACAAGTAGGCAGTGAATGGGCATACGTGTTAAAGATTGTTCCCGGAGCTAGTGTAGTATACGGACAGAATAAAATTTAGAAAATAATAAGATTGTTTTAAGACTAATAATTGTAATATTTTGAAATAAAATGATTTTTAAGAATTACAGTTGTTTATTTGCAAAAAAATGGATTAGATAGATTAGATCAGAGAAAATTATAATTACCGACATGGCACCTGAAATGACACAGCTTAAAAGGAGAATACGGATGGATATAATTTAAAAAAGAAAAGCATGCCATAAATATAATTGCAGCAGAGTAAAATAAATTGTGGGTTAAGAAATCTCCAGCAACTAATATTTACATCTTCTTCAGTGCCTTATCCGATCCGGATGTTGGCGATCATCAAAGCTATTATGGTTTTGTTGACTGCTCTGCGAAACAGCTCCGCTGAGGTCATCCCAAACCATTATCGGAGATTTTTCAACCACGAGATACGATGGCGTCCCGGTCCTCTTCTGCCAAATACTTTACCCTGCATAACGAGTTGAAGAATTCGATATTTTTCTTCGTTCCGCATAATATTTACATAGGAAACGAAGAAACACAGAAGCTTGGAATTTAATTAAAAAAAAGAGAAAATACCCATTTATGTAATAACAGGATGTAAAAATATTGGAAATATATCATTTATCTTTTTTGAAAGTTCAACATGGAAAATCTGTTGGGATAGCCTTAGAAGAAGTCCTATACTACATTACGTTTACGTTACATCTATTTTGGACATTTTTTCCCATTTATCGCGCAGAAATTAGGACTAAATATAAATATTGAGAAAAGTAAGGTAATGATAACCGAAGAAGATCGAAACTATCGCAAAATCCAAGTGGAAATGAGCAGGACATATGGTGAGAGAGAGCGAAGAAGAAGTGGACGAAGAAAACAACATCGGAGAATAAAAACTCAAAAACGAGGTATATGAAGACCACAAAAAATTTATTGACCAAAATATTACAGTGTTCTACTATCTCTGCCAAGTATTCCCAATTGTAGAGTCCAATTATGTTAACCTTTGATTTAAGCGAAAACATTAAAAGAAATGTATTTTTGTAAATTCTGTACCTTTTAACAAAATTTTAAACACTGTGGATATGTGTACTAAAGGAACTTTATAGCAAGTTTTATGAATTATCGTCCTCTCTGTCGGGAGGATTGTCTGACTTTGTAACTTTGGTCAATTACAATTACAATCAATAAATAATTGTAATAATTATAGACTACTAGTTCTAATATCACACTCCAGTAAGGTGATCTTCTAAATCCTGCAAAATCGTCTAGAAAACTTTAGCATGGATCTGATAATATTCGCTCTATAAAAAAAACAAATGAATTATTTTTGTTTCTAGAGGAATTAGAATTTTCCCCGATCGTTAAGGTTACAGAGCACTGGCTTAAAGTCAACGAGCCTTTTTTTGTAGCAAAATATACCACAATTGCTATATGTGATCGTCCAAGTTCAGCTTATGATGGCACCCTAAGTCTTTCTACAAATAACGATTTCTCTCCTATAACAAAATATGATTGTTGAATAAAGCGTTTTTTTAGTTTTCATTGGTTTCTAACAAGAATCTTAATCTATACATTCTTTGAATTTATAGATCACCTGATTCTTCCAAGAAACTATTTTTTCATGACACGCTAAATTTGTTAGATGACCTGTCCAATAAAAGCAGAAAAATTATATGCGGTGACTTAAATATTAATTACGGTGTTACTTGTGCTACCCAAATAGTCCTTGGTCAATATATTCGAATTGCATGATTTCACAATGCACGTTAATTCATCTACAAGAATTACTTAAACAACTTCTACCATAATTGATTATATTGCCTCAGATTTCTCACTTCTTGATGTACGCTCTACAATTATTAATGCAGGACTATCTGATCATGAAGCAGTATATACTAAGTTTAACACTCTCAACAAACCATTCTCGAAAATCCAACGTTTTGGAAGGATTTTTCCTTTGGAAACTTTCCTTCTGCGGACCAGTGATTTCAGTGATTTTTTATATGTATTTCAAGGCATTATATTTAATTACAATAAAGTTAAAAAATCACAAACTCTAGTCTACCTAAGGTATCCACATATCAGCTAAGAATATGCGTTCACTACTGTATATCAAGAAATTTACTACCAACGTATTTGTTACTGAATGTATCACCAAGTAAAGAGCAACCATCTAAAACTTTATCAACTAAACAAATGTACTATCAAAATCGCCTGGAAACCTCTAAAAATGTTGCAATTGAAACTTGGTTCATAATAAACGATCTTCCAAATAAAACGAGCTCAAACATTTTCCCTTTCAAACCCTGAAAATCTAGCAAAAAGATAATATTAACTATTTTGCCACAACAAGATTCTATTTTCTATCTCCCAATTCAAAAAAGGTCTCAAATTCATTATTTTTAAGACCAGTTGATACATCTAAACTGATTTAAACAATTAATCGTATCAAAAGCAAATCTTTCTGTAGTACTGAGGACTATCCATAAAAATTTTCTTAAATCTCTCAAAAAATGTGATGGAAGCCCTGGTATCACTAATTCATAATTCTTTTGAAGAAGGTATATTTCCCGATTCCCTAAAGACTGGTGAAAAATCGAATGTCTGCAACCTATTACCTTACTACTGGTCCTATCCAAAATTATTGAGAGACTTATGAAAGTCCGACTTAAAGTCCTTTCTCGTTAAAAACAACATTTTATTACAAAGTCACTTCTGCTTTTTATCTAATGTGTAAATTAGATAAAAACGATATTTTGATAAAAAGTTAAATTTTCTTCGGAATTCGACGTATTTCTTTAAATTGGTTCAAATCTTACTTTGGGAATAGTAAACAACTAGTTAGACCAAATGATACTCACTCTAGTTACAAAAGCATTGTATGTGGTGTGTGTATGTGTACTTTTCCTTATTTTTATAAATGACATAACTAACTGAAAAATCGATAAAAAAAAATTTCTCTTTGCTGATGATATCAGTATCACCTGGAAGAACTCTAATATTGCAACTTTTCATGCAACTATAACTTCTGATCTACTTAAAATAATACCTGATCCGATTCTAATTTATTCTCTTTTGACGTGGATAAGACAGTAGCATTATCCTATAAAGAAGCTCTTTCACCCTTGCTTCTTAATAACAGCCAGATCTGTATCGTTGATTCTGTAAAATTTCTTGGTATTTTTATAGACAGCAACTATAAATGGTCCCTTCGTATCGATTTGTTAAGTAAGAAACTAACTTTGGCCTGCTACGCAATAAGATCTGTTTCGAAGGAAATCAACTTAGCTTCTTCCAAAATAACATATTTTTCTATGTTTGAGTCTCATCTTCGATATGGTCTTTCTTTTTGGGGTTCTAGTACAACTGCGAAATCATCTGTACAAACGTAACTAAAAATTGTACAATTTTATGAAAAAAAAACTTACAAGAAGTTAGAAAAATAACAAAATAACAATTGCGAAGGATGAATTTTATCTCCCTTAATATTTAACATTTATTCAGAGCTTATAATGCGAAGAGTCTTGGATAGTTGGGAGGGAGGAGTAAGCTTAAACATCAACAATACACCATGGTTCAGAAAAGAAATAAAATAGAAATGTAAAGAGAAACGAGAGGCCTACACGAAGTACAAAACATCAAATACCCCAGAATCCCGAGACAACTATAGAAGAATACGAAATGAAACAAAGTAGTTGATAAGAAGAACAAAAAATGAACACTGGGAACAGTTTATAAAAACGATGGAAAGCGACTTCTACGGTACACAAAAACAAATATGGAGATTGCAGAGATGGAGACCTGCAAACGAATGGGAAAGATACCTGACGGAACTGTTTAAAGTAAAAGAAAATAATAATCAATACAATAACGTTCCTGAAATAGAAATCACGAAATAGAAATCAGTTTTCAGGAAGTAGAAATAGCCATAAATTCGCTCAAAAAATAGAAAGTCACCAGGACCAGACGGAAAAACCAACGAGTAAGTAAAATACGGAGGAGAAAGTATAACCCTAGAGATGACAAAACTTATACAAAAGCTAATATTGCACTGCAAGATACCAATAATATAACGTTCATAATGATACCAATGTTCAAGAAAGGAGATAAAGAAGACCCCAACAATTATAGGGGTATAAATTTAATGAACACCGCACTTAAGTTTACCACAAAAGTCCTAACCAATAAAATCAATAAACTAATAACTTTATCAGATGAACAACCAGGATTCAGATCCGGAAGATCCTGTGTGGACGCCATATTTATACTTAAGATAAGACTAATCACAGAAAAGGCCATCGAGTACAATAAACTAGCATATATATGTTTTATAGACCTGACAAAGGCTTTCGATCGTATCCAAGCGAAGACGTCTTACACCTACTGTATAAAAGAAACATACCAATCAATATTATACAAACCATCGAAAACATCTACCTCCATAATTGAATACAGGCAAAGATAAATGGAAAACTAACACAGTGTATACCAGTACAAAGCGGAGTCAGACAGGGTGACTCCACTTCTCTTTAATATAATAATGGACGAAATAATACAAGCAGTATGTAAAGGTCATGGCTACAGAATGGGGAACAAAGAAATCCAAATGTTATGTTATGCAGATGACGCCGTATTACCCCGAGTCAGAGGACGAGCTCCAAAGATTAACACATATCTTCAATACAACAGCTAAGAAATACAATATGATAATATTAGCAGAAAAAAAACAAATGTATGACAACATCTAAATACCCACTACGGTGTAAAATCGAAATTAATAGGAAAATAATAAGGCTGGAAGCAAGGTTTAGATATCTGGGAATAGATATAACATTTCTTCTTAAAGTGCCTATCCGTTCCGGATGTTGGCGATCATCACGGCTATCTTTACTTTGTTTACTGCAGCGCGGAACAGTTCGTGTTATACCACTTTCGTAAATTTTGAAGCCAGGAAATGTGACTTCTTCCCGGCCTTTCTAACCATTTACCTTCCCTTGGAGAATCAGCTGGAGAAGGCCGTAACGTTCTTGATTTTTGAATTACATGTCCTAGATACATAAATGTCATGAGAATTTCACATTCTTTCCCCATTC